GAGAAGGGAGGGGACTTTCCTGCTTTGCCACACTCCTGCTCCTTTCCAAGCCTGTGCTGGATTCCCCAGGCTAGCAGTTTCTTCTGTCCTGGATGTAGATTCCTGTCTTGTTGCTCACGGAGAGCGGCACTGCCTCGGCAGAGCAGGGGTTAAAGCCAGCTCAGCTTCCTTCTCCGCTGCTTGCTCAGGTGTGCTGCAAAGGGTAATAAAGAATGGCTGATTCGGAGAAACAACTTTGTGCACAGAGCTTACGGGACTAGGAAGAATTCCAGACTGGGAACTCTTTTTTGTTTCTCTGTATTTTATTTATTTTTTGATGGCAGCTGTCATTTTTTATGGAAAAGACTTTCCTATCTACAGCTATATTTTTGCCTTTATTTTTTGCCCTTTTTTTTTTTCCCCTGCTGAGTCATTGCACAACTCAACAGTCATTTGTGCGGCTTGCTTCCTGGAGTCTTGAATCAGTTTGTCACGTACCTTTCTTCTTTCCTCCTACATTTAATATAACTGTGCTGGTTTCAAGCGCTTCTGCACAGCGGAACCCCTTTCAGATGGTCCCGTGGTGTATCTCTGCGATCGGGGCGAGGGAGGTATGTACTAACGGCAGGATTTGTCCTGTGCTCAGTAAGGCGTTGTTCCTGTGATAATGTTAATGTTTAAAAATTATTCATTTGCCTTACACAGCCTGCAAATGCACAGAAAGCACTGTTTGCTTTTGCTTTTCCGTATGTTCCACTGCTGGTATCTGCTTAGGCAATTAAACACCTTTCATATTTTTCATCCTCTGTAATGCATTAGAAACGAGGTCCTCTTTTTGTTCTTCCTTGAATGTCTTTTCAGTCTTGTCTCTGAATATGCAGTTTGCTTTTTTCCCCTCTTTCTTCATCCCCTCTTCCTTATGCCTTTAACATTGGGTTGGTGTTTCAGGGACTTTCTTGGCCTCTATCTGATGTAAAATTCAAGAGGTTACCTAAAACCACAAAGCTGTGAAGCAGTATAATTAGCACATTTTGTTTTAAAAGGGTGAAAATCCCTGGCTGACACTTTTTCAATTTTAAAACGTCCTTGTTCTCAGTCTCACAGATTGTTTCTGTAATGCTTCTGTTTTGTTGCTCATAGTTTGCTTTTCAAATTAAAAAAAGTAAACAGAAGCTTGACTTTTTTTTTCCCCCAAAGTGCTTGTGTTTCAGATTGCTTCCCTCCCAATTAATTAGAAATAACAATGAACAAAACTATTCATTTTCCCGACCTCTGGCATTCCCAAAGACCTGGGGTGATGTTAGATGATGAAGCATTGCAGCAGCCTTACCACCTCAGCTCCTCCGCTCCAGCACTTGCAAAGCTAAGGTAAACGTCCACATTCTCTTCACTCAGCATGAAGAGACACGCGTACACATCAGGATGGGATCTGCAAAAGCCCACAGGAGGCAGGAGGTGGCCAAAGTCAAAAGAAGGTCTCTGGGAGGAGTGTGTTAAGATCTTGCTCATCCCCTCCTTGTGAAACAAGGTAAACATCCAAATTGTCTTCACTCAGCATGAAGAGACGCGTACACATCAGGATGGGATCTGCAAAAGCCCACAGGAGGCAGGAGGTGGCCAAAGTCAAAAGAAGGTCTCTGGGAGGAGTGTGTTAAGATCTTGCTCATCCCCTCCTTGTGAAACCACATCCCAGTGCAGGTGAACTAACACCAGCCGTGTCTGAACGAGGCATTTCCACCCCTCTCACTTTCACCAGGCCAACAGGAGTTCTTGTAGCCTTGTGCTTTGCTGCTGACCCAGTGGAAAGCCAGTCCTTTTAAAAAATTATTTATTTTTCCTCCAGGACAGCATCTATAGAGCTGGGCAAACGCCTCTGGAGTCCCAGGGAAGATACTGGATAATCCTGGTCTCTGCAGCCCAGCACCTCTGTGGTTAGGGGTCCTAGGCAGTCGTTCTGCTCGTAGCTTATTGCTTCCTCTCCCTCTCTCTTTTTTGAAAGAAGTTCAGAAGGTAATGGCGAAAGGAGAGGAGGAGGAGGTATTGCGTAAAACCTCAGTGGTCAAGCCACAGATTGGGAAACAGCAGACTTGAGCGCTCTCCGGAGCCCCCGCAACGGCGTTCTCAGAGACAGCACCCTCGTTCTCTCTGTTGGGAAGCTGGCTGCGCTCTCCATCTCCTCTGCATCGGGCTAGAGCGTTGGAGAGTGCATCATCCTCTGGCCTGCGCAGGAGGGAGGTGTTCTCCCTCTGTCCTGCCTCCTTCCTCCAGCCCCTGGTAAGGTGTTTGCTGTGTACATGCCTTAGGATCAAAGCTGTGCTGGTGTGAACGGTCGCTGTGGTTCGGAACTGTGAAACTGAAGCTGTTTCCTACTTCAGGCTCAGTTTTCCTCTAGATACTGCGTGAGTTACCGGAGCTGTGAGTTCCTGTGGGGTTTGGAAAGTGGATGGAGGTGTTCTCTTTGCTCACCTCTCGTCTGCTTTGATGCAGATAATCCTTGCCTTGATGTTTTATAGTCTCCTGGCATATCCGAGTGCAGCATTTGGCATTATTGGGGTCATTAGACAATATGTGATGTAGGGTGTTTGGGTATTGTGTTCTTCTGAGTAGCCTTCAGAGTTAATGTTTTTGTTTTATGATGTACCATCTCTCAGTCTGTCCTCCAAAAAGAAAAATAAATCTAAATCAGACTGAAGCCTTGGCTAATTGTTCTTTCTCTATTCATCTCCGTGGCAGCAGGAAACCCAGCAGCAGGGGTTCCATTCACAGCAGACGTGCGTGCCAGCTCAGATGCTTTTGTACGAAAATGCGTGTGTGGGTGTCGGAGGTAAAAATGATCGGGCAGCAGTGGCTGCAGCTGTATCCTTGGGAACTCAGGGCAAGGGAGATCAGTGATCTCTTTCCTCTAGGTTGGGGTTTTTATTATTCATTGAAAAAGATATTTAATAATTGCAAGTTATTCCAAAAGGGCAAACTAAATGTGTTTTGTTTGTTAAAGACTGTGTCAGCGCTGGGTCTGTCTGTAGTGCTGGCATTGCGTCTGCACCAGGAGGAGTGGCAATGTGCTCTGAACCAATGTGCTCTCAACCGCTGCTGGTCGTTTTGACCCCTGTAGCACCTTTATCTTCTGGTGTGCGTCCGGCTCTTGGGCACTGCTTCCACTCGTCACCTCTACATCTGCCACCTCACCTCGTGCGTCAGACATGCAGGTAGCAGGCGGGTGGATCTGTCCTGGTTGGTGCCGTTCTTCTCCTGTGTTGTGTTGGCCTCAGAGTGACCGGTTGGTTTGGGATGCACGTCTCTCTGCTGTTGGGAAATCATTACACTGTGGCTTTGCACATATTATGCCCACATGACCCCCACCTGGTTACATCTGTCCCTGTAGTTGTAAGCCTCCATTTAATTCCGTTTACCTGGTCAAGAACAATCCAGTGGGAATAACAAGAAATGTATTAACAGTTATTTCTAGACCCAGAAAGGACAGAGCAGCCTCCTCCTTGGTGCTGAGACCATTGAAACGGAGGGGCCGTAGCTCAGGTGGGAGGAGTGCTGTTGTGAACGCGATGCAGGGCCCAGCAGTTGTTTCAGACTGGTTATTTAGGTCAGAGTAGCTGGAGCTACTCTTTATTTATTTGCATAAGCCTATCTTTCATTCTTTGTTCAGCTAATCAGGTTCTGGTGTCCCCGAGTTCATTTCCATTCTTTCCCTTGTGACTATTCACTAGCAAGTCTACTTTGGGTGGGTTTTTTTCCCCTGGCTTCTTCCTGAGGGTGTGCCGTGGCCCCCCGTGCACAGCGGTGCACACACAGGCGTTTTGCCGCGGGTGGGAGAGGGGCTAGCTCTGGGTAGGCGACTGGCTCCCCGTAGTTCACTTAGAGCAGGGCTTTCCCTGCCCAGCCAGCTGACTGGGCAAGTTCTCGGTGCTGCTTCATGTTATGAACAGTTGTCACTTAACGGCGTGTGAGGCTAATTGTAACTGATTAGCTGATTGCGCTTGATCATGCCGTGTGCTGAAAGCGTGGTTTTTCCAGTACATGCTTCTGTGAGGAAAGGTTAAATTTACCGTGGCTTTGCGTTGGCACCGAACGACAAGCAAACGAGATCAGCCCGGATGAGTGTCCTTGGATGGAAGTTGAGGTCCTGCTCTGCAATTTTGGGGGATGCTTTGATCTTTGCTGCTTTTGGATTAGCTGTAACCAAATGGGTTTTATTGCTGCTTTGTTTTACGGGAATATCTGAAAACTGCAGCGAAGATCAGAACTGCTTTTGCTGGGCAGGGGGGAGGACATGAGATGAAGGGCTGGCCCAGGAGCAGGAGTGATATTAACAAACAAACAAACCAACGGGATCGCAAAGGCAGCGCAGGCAGCAATAGTGCAGGGAACAGGTTTTGACTAAGAGAAGAATAATTTTTTGTTGATAGTGCCCAAGTTTAGCAGGAAGGGCAGGAGCAGCCATCCTTTCACATCTCTCTTCTGCGTTGAAACTTTAGAGCTGCTTTTAGCGATTTATTAATTGTGAATGAGAGGTTAGTACCCTTTTTCCCTAGAGGCAATTGTCTTTAATGCTTTTATATTTGTTCCCAAATCAAACAAAAGAAATCCAAGCCAAGGCTCAGTGATTCTGATTGTTCAGTGATTTCCTAATTCCTTCTCTTATGTTGGGCAAAAGTGATAAGAGAAACCTGTTCCTGAGGATTTTTTTCGTTGACTATCACTGTGTTCTTGGGAAAGAAATGCCAATCACCGACAAACAATGTCTTCTATGTGTTGCCAAATAAAAGAGCAGGTTTGTTTTGTACTGTATGTATGCAAAAGCATGAGGATTCTGTGATTATTTTTACAAAGCTTTTTAATAACGAAGAACGTGCCTCAGAGCTTGTCAAAGAAGTGTTTAAAGAAATTCCAGTTATGCAAAACCTGAATGCAAATGGTTACAGCCCGGTTCAGCCAAGCTCTTTAGGTACACGTTGCAATCCCTTCCAGAGCTACTGGACACCTCGAGGGTGTCACCGTGGAACCCGATGGGTGGTGTCACAATCCTGCCGGTGGAACTGCCCTGGGTGGGGGCAGAGTGGCTCACCCGACAGCCAGCCCGCGTGTGTCTGAGGGAGAACGTGGGCAGTGTCCCCGGGCACGAGGATATTCACCTGCTCGGGGGCTTTGCTTTGGGAACTGACGGTCAGGAGGGGTTTGTGTGATGGACAGTGTGTGCTGTGTCAGGGGGAAAAAAAAGATGATTACAGAGATGAGAAAGGCTGCAGAAAAAAGGCATTTGGTTTGTGCTTACTGATATTTCAATGATATTTTGTTCAAATAATTTTAAAAAATATTATCTTATTGTAGTATATTGTTACTCCTGATTTTTCTTGTGTGGTGGCTTCCCAAATAATTGAATTTTGGCTCCCTGACTACAAAGTTCCATCAAAAGTAGCAATTATAGCTTCCAACTTTCTCGAATCAATCGCAGTTTAGTTATGCCAGGTTTTCGTTTTGTGGTCAAGGATTAAATACTATCCAATTAGCATTTGTTTATGAGGTGTGCTTTACACGGACCTTGCAGGTCTTTTCTGTCTTCACTTTGTGTGATCCTTCAGACAGACCTCAGAGACCTTGTTTTGTATAGTACAGATGGACATAATGTGATCAGTAAGGTGTTGACAAAGCTGATTTAAAACCTGGGAAATTAAATCCTCTCTCAGGTCAGCACTGTCAGCCTTCAGTTCCCATCTCTTGTTTCATTTTTCCTGGGGCTCTTGAGCTATCTCTGCTATCCACATTGCATGATTATTTTCTTCCTTTCCACTGTATTAGTTTTAATTTCACGGACACAGAGTTTACTTGGAGAATTGGGTTGCGGGAGGGTGTGTGCTTTTTGGTTATTCTCCATCTCTCTCATGACGTTTAGTTTTGCGGGGCGAGGAGGAGCGTGTGTTTGAGGTCAGAAATGAAGACAGTGTTCTCACTTGATTCCATCTTCTTGCCCAAGTGTTTATAAGCTTTGGTCAGATCTCAGTTCTTGTTTCCTGGTTTTTCTGCCTTTCCTCTTGGTGGTAAGGGGCAACCCGTAGGATGTGAAGAGTTGTCTTAATTCCGCTGCCTTGTCCTGTATGGTGACATCCCCAGGTCTTTACATAGCTTTTTCTTGTAGCGTGTCTTGATCAAGTTATTTTAAACCCTCTAAAAGCAGGTTTTTCAAAATATTTCTCTGTCAATTCACTGTTGGCTTACCTTTCCATGCTGTCTGAGAGTTAGGGGGTTGAATCTTGGAAATTCTGTACTTGATTGTGTCGGGAGAGACAGGGGTGCTGCATCCAGGCTGTTCTGCTGTGCCTTGAACGTGCTCAGCTTGAGTTTGAGGTCTCTGCGCTGTGGCTCACCTGTAGTGAAGTCCTGAAGCCCAAAGTAACCCCAAAACTGCGAAATCTCTTGCTCGTTCTTGTGCTGGTACCCAGCGAAGCTCCTGGCTGTTCTTGCAGCACCGCATCGTGATGCTGTTTGGATTGCTGTCTGCTGGCTCTGCTGCTCTCCTCTTTCTTGAGCAGCGTCTGTCCACAGGGTCAAACTGGAGAGTGCTCACTGAAGACAAACACGGTTGGTGTGAGCAGGGAAGGTGAGCCGAGTGGATGTGGAGTTTCCTGCGTGTTGCGTTTGCAAGCTGTGCAAAGCTTGATCCCTGGTTACTGTTAGTGCCCTGGTGAAAACTGTGTTATTTCGGCCTTTGTGCAAATTATTTGAGCGGCATAAATACCAGGTTTTATCGGCTAGTGTTTGAAGCTCATTGCTTTTCATTATAGATCGGTGCCAGCACAGGCCTTGTTTAAATTTGGCCTTTGAGTAAAATTTCTATCTCAGAAAACATCATTTTCTGTGGCGCTCTAAATCTTGCATCGTTGGTTCTGTAGGGCAGAGCTGTGCTTGTACGTTGGCTGAGAAATCTCCAAGCACAACAACAGTGCTGTAAAAATAATAAGTAAACTAATAAATCAGTTATCGTTGGCTCTCACCTCTTAAATTGAGGTCAGAAAGAAAAGGCGTTTGTGGGAGAAGCAGCGAGGAAAGCGGAAATGCCTGGTGTCCCCGTGGGGAACACAACCTAAAGATCACGCTTGGCGTTTAATTTAAATAATATATAGCTGGTCCAAAAGGAATGTCTGTCAAGCAGACAATTAACTGTCTGATGTGAGGAGCCTGACATTCAGAATGTTTGACGCTTCCATGCCAGCACATGGCTGTCAGACCATCAGGCACCGCTGGAGGCAGTGTATCGACACCCTCGCGCCCTCCCAGAGGGGAGCTGGTAATCGGTGTGTCATCGGCATGTAGGTGACACCAGGATCCGTGACAGTGGTGTTAGTCCTACCGCTGTGGTCTGCCGGTGGGACATGGTATGTGCCAAAGACCCTAAACCAGGGGAAGGAACATTCTCGTAGGAATCCCACACCATTTTACATGGTCCATTGTAAGTGACGGGGCCAGCAGATTAGGGTTGAGAACCTGCAAAAGGGCTTTAGATTTTTTTCTTGATGCAGTTGTATCATGTACAAACGTATAAGCTCTGACTTTAAATTCATCAACTTGACCTACCAGAGAGCTTGGAAGAATGGGTGTGAATGCGGGCCGTGCCTTTTGTGAAATGTCCTGTAAACATTTGTTCCAGTACATTGGATTCTCAATTTACAATGAGGAAGGGTTCATTCATCTGAGGAGAGATTGCTTAACGGCCTCTGTACACCCAGAACTTTTATTAATATAATAGTGTCAGGTTTCATTTGAAGGGCATGCGGAGCTGCTAAGCAGTTGAAGAAGTGGCATTTCAAATAAATTATATTTCTGTTCTCGTGGCTAGTACTCGGTTTGTAGCGAATTTTCAGTTACAACTCCCGTGACATGGCCAAGGGTGGGCTTTCTAGAACCGAGCAGCCTCTTTGACTTGTTTGATCTTTCATGTTTACCAAAGATATGTGTCAGTGGTTTGTACTTGAGGTGTTTTGCCCTCCCATGAAAAAGAATCCATGGCAGAAACAAGATAGTCTTGGTACAGCTTGGCATGTGTGGTGCATCAGACGTATGTATGTTATTTATTTGCTCTGTACATTATAATAATGGCAAATGTACACAGTACACAGGCATGTAAAACCGCGTGTGTATGGTTCTGCATGTATAGGATATTCCGGGCTTGGCTTGGGCTGAGGCCAGGAAAAATGGCTGGATTCCTGTGGAAAGTCCAGAAGAGGAGGTGAGGGCAGATGAAGAGACGGTGTGTGGTGTTGGTGCAGCTGGGTGCCAGTCCCGTGAGGCTTCTCGTGACAGCTTTCCCTGAGACCCTCAGCTTGGGTTTCGTTCTGTGTGTCACCCTGGAGAACGCAGAGCTCCTGCAAAGTCTGTTGAAATAGTGTAATGAGAGGAGTGTCTCAAGTAGCTGCTTTCCTTCCTTGTCTTCCCCCTTTCTGTCCCTGTTCCTGCCCGTGTCTCAGTTCTGCTAATTCACAAGGTTGTTCTCCTTCATCCACATCAGGGGCAGGGAGGAAAAAGCCCCTAAACGTAATATAGACGGGACTAATGCTACCTGTAACGTCCTCAGCCTGCCTTGTCTCTTGTCTCAGGTGGCATGGAATTAAATAGTTGCCATTAAAGATTAATAAGGGTTCACAGATGGTTATCGAGTGTTTGTAATTGTGTTAGGGAGAAAATCTTTGGTATCATTTCCAATATTTTCGTGGTACTGTGACAAAGTTTTTAATTTCCATCAGTAGCTGAATATTCTGTTAAACGAGTCTGGCAAATGCTCAGAGAATTGACAGCTTTAAATGTGCACACGCAGAGCTTTTCTTATTTCCAGTAAAAGTCCAGAACACCTTCAATAGGAAGAATAATAGGACGGTGTGTCAGGATCTCAGAGGGAAGTTTTTCAGGCATCATCAGATTAAACAAATAACGTGAGTCAGTGGATGGGAGGCTGGTGAAAGGACTGGGTATGGTGACATCCGTGTTGGTCCACTATGAGGGTAGAGACCCAGAACACAGACCTGATTCCTCAGGTTGTTTGGAAACAGAACATATTCTCCTCTGCTCAGTCACAGCCGACACGAGTATTTGAAGCGTCTTCCCAGGAGTAACTGAAATAAAGGTCGCTGACCGCGCTAAGCGTAGGGTTTGTGCGATACACGGAGCGTGTTTGTGTGCATCTGTTTTATAGCCTTCCTTACCAGTCTCTGCAGCCTTACCCTGAGGCCTTATGCCTTTTGGTTCTCGTGTGTTCGCTGGGATGTGTTTTGTACTAGAGCAGAAATGTGATCCCAAAGCTAGGTACAGAGTTAGAGGGGATATGATTCTGAACCCAGCCGTGCTATTACTGTGAGCGTTAATTCCTCATGTAGAGTACAAAGAGGGTTAAAGGCTTTGGCCCAGGCGCTTGCCTTGTGGCAGCAAACAGCACGTTTTAGAGCTTCAGATCTTGTCTGGAAGGAGTTCTTAAAAGCTTGAGTCAAACAGTACGTGAATCAGCACAGTTAACGTTGAGCAAACCCAGCCCTGCTGTATGCAGTGTTAGTTAGCAAAGGAAATAAATGGGGATCTAGTAATAAAAGAAAAGCCTGCCTGAATCTCGTATCTAGTGAAACCAGAACGGATAGTTCCAGACCTTCAAGCAGCCTTTGGTACTTCATGTCTGTGCCGTAATGCCCCCAAAGGCACATCCGTACGGCCTGCGGGGGTGATGTATATTGGCTCTCTGGCTGTAGCTGCAGAGCTGTGTTGGACAGGCTGAGAAGCTTTCATTAATACTTTTAAAATTTTGATTTTAAGCCTCTGTGCAGGCTTGAAATATGCTTTATAGGGCATTTGAAAGATGGCTCCTTATCTGAAGAAAAGTTTACCTTGATTAAATGAGGCTGATTTGAGCGCATCCCTGCAGAGTTGGGGTGGTGCAGGCTGTAAGGTTTCTGGATCTCTAACAGCGTTTATTGTCACCTGAGCACCGTAACAGGCTGTGTGTACAGTTACCCAGGAGGTGTCACTGAGAATCAAACCTCTCTCTGTCCTCCCTTCCAGAATGATGAAGTCCTCGGTACATGCAGAAGAAGATGACTTTGTGCCAGAGCTTCAGAGAAGCATCCATCCCAGAGAGCGGCCAGACTGGGAGGAGACCCTCAGCGCTATGGTAAAGCACCTCGTTGCATTTCCTAGATACATTATTATTTTTGGCTCTGAACAATCTACTGTTATACTCTAGTTATGCATTGATTTATATTCCTTGAGTTTCAGGTTTTTAAGTGGTTTGCATAGTACTTCCAACAATCCCAAAATACTTTCCTTCCTCTGGCAGTTTGTCAAGGAGAGAGAGAAGGAGCATGCATAACGCTTCGGCATCGTTAATGCGTGCCCCAAAGCGAAGTCTAGTCACCAATTAAAAGGTCTGTAATGTCACAACGATTTTCAGTCTGCATTAACCTCTTTTTCAGCAAGACTTTTCAGCGTGAAGGGAACTTCTTGTAAAAACATGCTCTTTGAAGCATGCAGCATCGTGGAAGAATAAGATTTTTAGCAAAATGCAGGCTAAGTCTGCAGAGATGAAATGTCAGCCTGAAATCTGACATGAGAGGGAACAGGATTGCAGAACAGCAACCCCAAAGGTGCTGTTATTGTACTTAAAGACAATACAAATGGACAGGGGCCCACAGACAACTCTGTGACCTTGATTTATTTATTTTCTTTTTAAATAAGGGAGCAGAGGATGTGCAGTTCTGCTTTCCCAACCCCCTCTAGCATTTGCTGAGCTGGGAAGGTCAGATGTTGTTTCATTAGCAGCCAAACAGAGCGATCTGGTTAGGTGGTTTTGTGAAGTTCTCTGACCTCACAGAGGCTTGACCTACCTTGTTTCAGTGGAAGGGTGTCTGGAAGGTGTATCTTGCTATTTTCAGATTTCCTACATTGTCTCATTAGCATGCTAAGCTGAAGAGGAAATTGCCTCGTGCGGCAGACCTTGGGCAGGGGGAAGGTCTGGATGTTTTGAGGACAGCAGCATGGCTAAGATTACTTACTGGGACGTGGCACCAATGACAGTTTTTCCCTTGCATTGGAGGCGATGTGGCAGTGGGAGGACTTCAGCCTGGAAAAGCAGCATGTTCTCTGCTCCGGGACTGCCAGCGCAGCAGCAGCGTGAGGGATGGGATGGATTTGTTAGCAGGACAGTCGGATTCATCTCATGTTTGGGGCTGAGGGGTGTTCATCCCAGTGCATGATCTGAAGTTTAAAGGACCATTAGTATCTGTCCGGGTTGTGCGAAATAGATTTTGGATTAGCTGTTCTTTACACTGTGTTCAGAAAATGTGTAGGTAATAAACACCCTGAAAGCCAGGTACTTAATTTTAACCAGGGGAACAAAGATGAGTTCTATGTTTTACTGGTTTAAAAGCATCATCAAACCAACCCAAAACTTTTTTTGTCTGCTGGTATTTTGGTCTGTTTTTTGCTCTGCTTGACTCCTTGCTTATCCGCTGTTAATTTTGACTTTTTGCAGTTGTCCCTTACGTATGTTTTTTCTCATGTGCGGATATTTTTGCCTTCTCTTCTGCTTGGCCCGCGGTTCCCGCTGGTGCCACCTGTTTGAGGGCACTGTCCGTTCTGCTCAACGTTTCTCAGCCAGCTCCCATCCTCAGCACACGCTGCTGCTCAGCATCCCAGGGCCAGGAGGCTTGTGTACATCACCGGGTGACACCACGCTGTCTGTAACCTGCAGGAGTGTCAGGAATGTGGGGCTGTAATTCACTCTCCACCCGTAACACAAGCTAGCTAGCATACCTGGTTTGTTATTGTTTTCTTCCATCGCTGATTTACAGTGAAGGCAAGGTTCACCTCCTGGCTTGGCACTTGCCCTGTGCTCGTCAGGGCTGTGGTGCTCAGGGACGTGGTTCAGGGCTCAGCTCTGTGCTGCAGCCTGCACGTGCGCGTGATGTTCAGAAACTACCACGTCCTTTGTTGACTACCTGCATTTAGGTAACTAAATCTTCTTGCTGTATGCTTACATCTACCCTCATTTGAAAAAAAAAAACAAAACAAAAAAAAAACAACAAAAAAAACCAACAGCACGAAGCAAGATCTG